AAACCCATGTTATATAATGGTATTAAAAAAATACAGATTCTGGTTGGAAATCTTATCCCACACGGGCTACCCCCAGGGATCCTTTGCAATTTTTATTCTTTAGGCGTAAAATTCCCCGCTAGGCAGAAACAGCGCGACAAAGCCCTACCCGCGAGCAAAGGAAGTGATGACAAATACCCCACCACAGGGCCAGAGCTATACTTGTTGAAATATCAGGAGCTGAGGAAACGGAAAAGTGTTCAAGAATCTTTGCTTGTAGGTTCTTAGCATTTGCATATTTTAATGTAGTTTTCCATCATCACATATGCACCAAAGTGTTTTTGTGTAAAACACAACCGACAAGCGGTGTAAACTTTTCCGAATAACAATTGCAGTAACAGAGCGTTTGCACTCATTCCCCAGGGACAAACTCAACAAAAGCCATGGCGGCCATGTTGGTGTTCCAGACAAAAGAGTCTAATTAAAATTCTTTTGAATGGACCTTTCCCCTTATAACTAAAATTTCGATCTGGACAAAAATTTCATCACAGCTTGAAAGAGCATCACAAAATTAGTAATATTCCAAAGTTTTGCTGCAAAATCTTGTAAAATGCGGATAATATAGCCTTGCGAAGTTTGCCGTTTTTCAGTCAATTTGCATTACAAACGGGAAATTGTCATCCGATTCGGGTGTTGGGGCTGCAATTTCCCGTTTGTAATGCAAAATGACTGAAAATTGCAAACTTCGCAAGGCTCTATTTTACTCATTTTACAACATTTCGCAACGAAACTTTGGAATATTACTAATTTTGTGATGCTCTTTCAAGCTGTGATGAAATATTTGTCTAGACTTGCCTAGATAAAAATTTTGGTTATAAGGGGAAAGGTCTATTGAAACACCAACATGGCGGCTGTGACGTCATGTGCAAACGCTGTATAGAAATAGAATGAACATTTCTGGCTGAGACAGCCCGGCACGTAAACAAATGCCCAACTCTTCCACAGTCCCTCGCTATACAATTTGAGTTAATAATTCCCATCATCCAACGCGAGCGACTGGGAACAAGTCAGAACAAATGCCCAGTCACAAATACTCGGCTTTTGCAAGTACTAATGACTGCATCGTCCCTGGGCAGAAAATAAAAAGATGCAAATGCACAAGGATTGACCGAGGGGAACGGAAATGATAGAATTGACTCCTGTATAAATAAGGACAGCATGGTTTGTCATTGGTTTCAAGTGCAATTTGAAAAAATAATGCAAAACTGCACAGGTTAAATCTTTCGAAGACTATAAAAAAAGTATGAGATCGAAGGATGAGTTCATTTGAGTTATTTGAATACTCATGAGTGCGTTTTTCTCAAAATTGCACGAAAATTTATGCTATTGCTTATTAGTATGATATATGTGAAAAATAATAAGCGAATTAAGATAATCTCCATCAATATGGCTCATGTGTGAATATACTGCAACATGACTAAAAATCTAGAAAGAAAACAGATTAATTTTTACCATATTTCAGCAGGCGTGAAAATAAAGGCGTCTCTTGAGGAAGAAAAAGTTTTTCTGTTGATGCCTGAGCTTGTGGTGTTGTTGTTACATCTGAGTGAAGAAAAAGGAAACAATATACTTTAATATTTGTAACATGGCACTTCTTAGGTATCGCCACTAACTTCCAAACAAAAGGCCTTCGCTCGAAACGTCGACGTTTTGTTATCCTCGCTACTTATACACATGGCACCGACCGTTCGAAATTATAAAGAAAACGCCTCTCCCGCATGCGATAAATTATTATATATGAATAATTAATGCCCTATGGAATATACAAGAATTTTAGTTCCGAGTATGTTTTCCTACATACTGTAATAAACTGCGTGTTACCTCTGCAAGAACCAGCACCCCATGTAATGGTCTTTACACCACAAACCAATGTTTTTACCATACTTTTACAGTCGGCTGCTGAAAAGTTACTTGCTTTAGAGTCTCCAGTTTTCTACAAAATACCAAGCAAACAAATATTTGTGAGCTACGATTTGTAAACTATATTCTTTCTACGATCACATGCAGACTAAAGATACAAAATTCCGTACAGTACAAATGTACAATCCATTATGTGCCCATATTGGGGTGGTATTTCACTAAAAAAAGTTATTGGTTTTCAGTTTATGTTTTTATCATTACTGATATTGACCCTCACATTCACCACGTTTATGTTCTTAGGACACTGACCACGTCTAGGTTGTTATCACTACTGACATTAATCCACACACACATTAATCACACAGCTTGTCAACAAGATGTGTTTACACTGCTTATTCCCAGTTGTTGATAAGTCTGGAACAAGTTGTTATCATCTTGTAACAAGGTTGAGGAGGCCAACAGACTCGCAACAAGTTGTTCCAACAAGCCTGATATCGTCTGTATACTTAAAAAGTTGTTAACAAGTTGATGACAACAAGCTCGCATCAACTTGTTACAACTTCATACAACCTGGTTACTATTAGTATGAGCGTCTTGATATTTTTATATGGTACCTTGGTAGATGAATCTGACTCTTGAATAAACGAGGGTAAAGAAATCTTCTGTGATTGTGAAGCTGTCTCGCTAGCTGCAGCTTGCTCTTTAGGGTTGCTTGTAGAGGATTCTTCTTTCTTCTCGCTACAAAAAGAGGAAAAAAAGTAGAACTATACAGGAAACGGTAAAGCAAGTAGAATAATAAATATATTTAATTGTTTTCAGAAAAATGAACGAAGAAACCAATATCAATAACTAACATATAAAATGTACAAAAATCTACATTTAAATGTTTCCTCACCACTTTTCCATAATAACTGGCAGTTCATGCATCGCAATAGAATGAAATTTCCTCACAAATACTTCAAGCATTCTCATTAAAATTTCACGGCCCTTTGAAAAGAAAGCAAATGTTGCTATATCACTTGGAATAGGCAAATGCACTTTGGTGCAACCAGCATTTACGACTGTCAACATGCAGGTGGTAAATTACATTCAAGCGTACACCCTTGAGTGTAATTTAATTAATTAAAAATTTTCTGCTTAATCTAAAATTAACAGTGTTAGGGGTAACTTAATGTTCCTAGACTAATTTCCTGGTTAATTTAACCAGATTATGTTATCTGGTTAATAATGAAGTTACTCCAAACAGTGTCAATTTTTAACCTGGCTGTTTTTAGAGTATATAAATAACAACCGTATTGGTTGCTGTCCTGTCGAATATATAGAGGATATTACACAGTGGCGCGAAGATATGACTTTTATCTTCGAGTAGTGAAAACAATATAAAATATACAATAAAAGCCACGTGATCGATATCTTCACTAGTGAAGATATGGAAAATATCTCTACGTACTAGATAAAACATGAGCAGCCGATCTGTATCAGAGCCGAGAAAATCAAAGCTGAAGTTTATGTAAATCAGGACAAATCTTTATCCGATTTACAAACATTGATTAAACATTCATTTCTTTTGTATTTTCCTCGTGAATTATTAATGAATTTTTTAATATATAATAAAGGAGAGTAATTTGTGGAGTTGAAATATTTCACTTGTCGAAACATTAATTACTACCTCCCCAGGAGGTTCAAAATGTTTTTCAGTCGGTTTGTGTCTTTGCTAGCCTACGGTGTAGACTCCAGCAGACGAAACGTGTTTCCGCTGAGGTCTACACCGTAGGCTAGGTCTTTGCATGTTTGTTTCTTTACGTGTTTGTCAAGAGGATAACTAAAAAAGATTCGAACAATTGAATACGGACGTTTCTGAACTCTGGAGCTATAATTTAAATGGCCGGTGGTCAAGAACAAACAGATCAAACAAATCTTACATGCATCATTTGTTCATACACGGTTCAAGGTATTTGGGAATACATGAAATTTTATTGGTGAAGGACTATTCAGTCTCGTCTGGATGACGTGAGTGTGATCTAGTTTGTTATAATCTCAACACTGAAAGAGTGAAAGTGTGCTGGTCTGTACCAACTTGTGTTTTTATTATGGTGTGTTATTATTGTCCTTTTAGTACTATTTACAACATGAGCGGCCGTGTTGTATCGGATATACAAACTCGAGCCGAAGGCGAGAGTTTGTATATCCCGGATACAACACGGACGCGAATGTTGTAAATGACTTAAAAAACGACTCATCTTATGAGTTCATTGGCGAAGTAATTTTAAAAATAAACGTTGTCTATGCCGAGAAAATCAAAGTTAAAGTTTATGTAAATCAACATATACAGGATACGACACGCTTATGATTTTTCTTTGTGTTTTCTTCATGAATTATTAATGAGTTTTTTAAGAGCATTAATGGTCATTTTAATAAGAAGTACTTTGGGGGGAAAAGGATCGCTTACATGAACAGCCTTTGTTATTGACAATAAAAGACCACGCTATTTTTTTGTTGGATTATGGAAAATGTAAATACCGTCCATCAGTTTTCATGTGAAAGTATTAGTGTCTATATTTTCCCAGCAAGCCACCCAAAGAATAAACCTTCAACACGAAATTGTCACGCTTACTCACGCATGGTCACGCCACGTGAGCGATCATCTACTCTTTGACTTTGGATGTACGTGTCACTGTGGCTGTGGTATTACATACACAAGCAAAAATTTCACATCTTCTAACAAGTTTGTCAACAAGCCGTCAACAAGTTGTCTTCGCACTGCTTGTCACAAGTTGTCAAGTTAACAAGCTGTTAACAATTTGTAACAACCTTGTTGATATTATCAGGCTTGTTACAAGGTTGTTCCAACAAGTCTGATACAGTCATGATATAGCAGTATTGTTACAACCTTGTGTCGTCATTCGTCAATCTTGTAAAATTCTTGTTTATCACGACTGTATCACACTTGTCAGAACAACCTTGTAACAAGTCTGATAATGCCATTAAGCTTGTTACAAGTTAACAGCTTGTTCCAAACTTGTTACAACAACTGGGAACAAGCAGTGCGAAGACAACTTGTTGACAGCTTGTGAACAGATTTGTAACAACTTGTTTGCAGACTTGTAACAACTTGTGCGTTTTTATGTGTGTATTAAACAATTCTTTCTCTTTTTTTAAATTCTCTCTCTCTTTAATATTGATGATACAATTACAAACAGCGGACTTTTGTACGCGATACAATTACCAGCGAAGGCCTTTCAACTTCAAGACGAAGGTCCTCTGGCTGAAACCAAGTCCAAGTTCTTTTTGTATTTTTCGGGTAGTTATATCACCTACAAAGGTCCACTGTTTCTTAAGAACATGTAGACGATGACGAGAACAACTCCAAGAGATGTCTGCATGCAGGCTACAAAACATGTTTATTTGGATCGACGTTAACCAAAAAAGATAGCTTCAACATTATTTAATTATATTTACAAAAATTCTCACTCCTATAAAACAAATTGTTTCTGATTGTCTCTTTGCCTTTGTCTCTTTGCCTTTGGCCTAGTTCCTAATGCAAATCATCACGACTTATCATTTACCGAACCAAATGTGATGATATAAACTCAAGCACGACCACGTGCTATTTCAATAAACCTGCCAAAGCAAAGACTGGCAAACTTTTCTGCATGTCGACTTTCTACTCTAGAAACATCAGAGACGATTGACCAGGACATTTTACCATTAATAGTGTGGTTTAAGTGCAAGAAGGTCTCGGCAAAACCATGATTAAGGCTGTTTACAAAACATTCTTGTAGTTTATAAGTCTGTTCCTCCTGGTTTTGATCAAAATTGAAAGACCCAAAACTCGATATAAAATTGCAGCATGAGAAGCGAATTAACACCTCTCGATCAACTTGATCAACTAATTCTCTTGGTTTCATAGTTTCACAGATTATTGTCTCGTTAATAATATATCCTTCAGTTTTCACAAAATCATGTATTTCATTGGTAGTTTCTTGTGCCATCTTCCAAAAATTAACATCCGTTCCTGTCTCATATTTCATGTAAAGTTCATTAAAAACATACACAAAGTACCCTAGATAATCTTCATGTGGTTTTGGATCACAACAACGTTGAGCGTTAATAGCACACTCGCACTTTAACTTTGCATCTTTGTTCCCTTTCATGCCATCTTGTATAAGTTCACAGAAAGCTAAATGTGCAGCAGCCGTCAAAGCTCCAGTTACAGTACAATTATTTGCTTTGCAGGCTTGTATAATATTCTTTGTTTCGCTCTCAGTGAAAACTTTAGCACTTAGCCGATTTGGTCCAGCAAAGCTAGAGACATCTAAACTAGGTGGGAACTGACTATAATAAGGATTACACTTCGTCGTTTCCAAGCGGCGAGCAATGAATCTCTGCATGAAAAATCTTAAAATAGGTCGAAGGCCACAATAAGTGAGCATGAAATTTAATACTGAATACAAAGTTCGTTTCTGTGTGACAATATCATGAAAATATGGCAGTATGTTTAGACTGGGGATCTCCTGGTCTACAGTAGCACCGTCTGCAATTTCATTCACGAAAGTAAGAAATTGCTTACAAAATTTCACGCAAGACACGCCGTCAGTAGAGGAATGATTAAAACGAAACATTAAGGTATTTGCATAATCTTTTGTGTCTGATACGAATTCCTCTTGTAATATCACAACTCGCCACAACAGACCATTTCCTCTTTGTTTTTCTGTATTTTCAAACCACACATCTTTCCAATCCGAAGCCTTTACTTCAAAAGTAGTAATATCTAACATTGTAATCACTTCCTTTATTTCCTTGACCTCAAAGTATTTATCTCCGTTTGCTATCGTTGTTATGATTGCCCGAAGCATCGGCTGTCGTTTGGCTAACAGCACCAGAGCATCGCGAACGTGCTGATGTGACAGGCTTTGTTTTGAAGTTAAAGATACCGTAAGACAAATATTCCCCGTTCCACCTCTTTCGACGGAAAACAAATCAAATATTGCTTCACGATGACCAAGACAGCGTCCAACAGTGTCAGGTTTTAAAGGCTGTTCGCTCGTCGCTTTCTCTTTGCCAAACACGTACTTGGTACATTTGTACACAAGATATACACACACTACAGTCAAAAGTGCTTGAGCAAAAAACCCAACATTTAGAAAGTTCAAAACAAAGTGCCAAGCCATATCTGGTATTGTGTGAAAGTGTTTATGAAATAAAATTTTGCCCCTATTTTTTATTGCACCACTTGAAAGTACACGCTTGTGATGTTAGCAAACATCTAATATTTCAGAGGTGATTCAACAATATTCAATGATATTTCGCACAATTAATAATGGTACTTTCCCAAACATTTGGTAACTAGTAATAGTAATGTGAGAACTCTAGCTTCCAAAAATAGACGAAGTATCTGAATTTATGCTACGTCATTACATAGACTATTAAGCATTTAATATCACCACAGTTAACTGTGATATCACTGTCACTGAGAGAGAGAGAGAGAGACTTGACTAAAGGAATCAAATAGCTGATTGCGTAATCAACATACTGTATGGCAGGATGAGTATCTACGTCTATACTGAAAAATTATGCAAATCAGGCACAGTACGTACTAATATACGGTGCCCTACAAATAAAACTTTCCGACTCCAAGTAAAGTTTATACTTATTAGTACGTTTCATTCTAGCTACATTCCTCCTGTCGCCCGGCAGTTGGTCCGTACGCTACGATTAAAACTTCGCTTTAAAACCAACGATACGAAAGTTATCAAGGATCAAACGTACTGGATTCTTAATTAGTTTAATAATTTTGAACGATTTGTCAACAATACAACTTGTCTTTCAAAGGCCAGAAATCGCTAGAATACATTCTGAGCGCTCTTCGCATGCGTGTAAAGACTGGGACTATATTATTTCACTGTTCCGAACAGGGTAATAACGACAAACTAACAAACTCACGGGCAGAATATAAAGCGGTGCCAAACTTGGCACGGGAACCGCAATTTAGGCAAATTAACGATTTAAACTGTTGCAAAAATCACGAAACTCTTTGTCTTCATATTAGACCTAAAAGATTACCTCGATACGATCTGCGATTACTTGCTTCCCTCACTTTCCTGTGGCATACTATTAACGATTAGTATAATTACATAGGTGATTATTGAAAATTCTCCACGCTGATTGGTTGCCGTTGAGGTGATTATTACGCGATAATCACCTAAGCGATTTTCAAAATGGCGGTCGAAGCCGTTTTGTCAATTAAATGACGAAGAAATGTGCATTTTAAAATTTGTTTCCAAATAATCACCTATAAAATTATACTAAAACAATTATTCACCTCAGGCTCGGTGATTATCGTGAATAAAAACCTCGACTTCGTCTCGGTTTTTATTCACCGATAATCACCTCGCCTTCGGCGAATAATTGTTAAATAACGGAGATTTTTAACGTCGAAATATTAGCAGGCCATATGTCAATACAACTATGTAAATCAATCAAAGTCACTATCGTGATCATTTTCCGATTTGTGAGGAAGCAAATGGTGTCTCCAAAGAAAGTACATGTGCGGACAATACGAAACTTTAGACTTCAGAAAATTGCACAAACAGTTATCAAACTCATATCACAGAAATGCTAAAGGCATGTGTGGCAACTGAACGGTATCATTTTGGACAGGGGCCGGTGGGTATTTATTTTTTAATTGTTATTTGAGGTTGGATAAAAAAATTGTGACTCTTTAATGGTTGGATCAGCAAAATGTTTATCAAGAAAAACAGTTCTCTTCGCCTCCCTGCTGCGAAGCGCCTATTTCTTTTGAAAATAATAAAATCGTATGGTGCAAGTACGGATGATATGAAAAGATTTTACGTCGCAGTAATTAGACCAATGCTCGAATATGGGGCTCAGGTCTGGAATGGCGGAATTACGAAGGACCAAAGTAATGAAATCGAACGAATCCAAAAACGAG